AAAGAGAAAATACAAGTGGAGGAAGAGGAAGAAGAAATGCAGACAAGTTCTATAGGTAATCAGAGATTAAGCATGGCTGGAGAGATGAACATTGCAGCTCTATTATCCAGGGAATGACGGGGGTACACAGAGGCTGCATGACTCGAGTCTGAGAAACACCAGTCTGTACAAAAGCAGATGGCTTGGTAACAGGTGAGGGGGAGCTCTGTTCTCCCCATCTCTTGTAAACGATGATAGGACAAGGTGACAATGCTGAAAACCACTGAGAAGAGACACTTTCACATGCAGCACCAACCAGGGAACTCACAGCCACAGTATATCAAGGGGAGGGGAAAAAAAACAGAGAAAGACTCCAGGAAAGATTAAAGAGATGCTGTGTGTCCTGGCTAAAAACATTTGCAATGCACAAGGTCTGAGAGCCCAGCGAGTCCCAGTGGGCTCAAAATATCCAGATCCCATGGAACCAAGGGTTCAATCCAAGCAGGGACAACTTAACTCTTTATACCTAAAAGTTAATACCAACTTGGTCCCCTCCAACCAAGGGTCTCACTGCACTGTGCACCCATGATTCCACTCCCACCCGCATGAAGTAGGTAAGTAATATCTATAATCCTCGTTCCTTCGGACATCACGTGGAAATGTGGGGTCCTGCCTACTTCCCATGGATATTAAGGCTCAGTCTCCCTGAGAGCATGACCTGGCTTAAAACATCTCCCCTGCCTTGCAGCTTGGTAGCCTGCTGCCTTATAGTTGTCTGACTCAACTCAGAAGCAGCTGTGTTTTAGCAAGACTATGCATGTGCAAACTTTGCTAGGCAGGGTGGGATTCTTTTATGCCCTCCGAACCTGGGCAAAGGCACTGGAATCAGAGGCCTGCTTTCTCCCTTCCCCCTCAGAAAGGGGCTTGCAGAGTTTGCAAAACTTTGCCCTTTCCAAGGGACAATGGCTACAGTCCCGATTGTTCTGCCCATCTCCTCCCCTAGGAATCTAATCTCACAGCCCCCTTATTTTTATTTTTTTTTACGGCACTCACCCCAGCCCAACCAACTGGCTCATTGTTAACAAGCGCGTCCAGCCAGGGAAGTGATTGATCACCAGGGAGAAAGGCCAAAGCCGTGACGGGTCGTTTAACAATTTCAATTAAACTCTGCACTGTTCAGACGCTGAAGGAGGAGAGGCAGCGATGGAGACGGAAATTAAAAAGAGGGACTCTTCTACTCCTGCTTAGACAGACAACCCCAACGGGGTTGACAAGGCATGGCCTGGGTTCTCCCCAGACATGTATGGTTTGAGAGAGAAACTCTCCTGCTGCAGAAGCAGCAATGGAAAAGGGCATCCTTATAATATCTTGCTGAGCCCTCCCCTGTCTACCCACAGGATGGATGTGCTCTCACTTCTGCTTTTTTTTATTTTTATTTTTTGCGAGGGAAACATTACCAATGCCCCCACAAGGCCTTTCAATAATAGGTGCTGTGACCCATTTGTGCAGCCACATTTTCCAAGCCATGCACCGACCAAGAAGATGCATGGTGAATATTAAGCGACGTGTCCCTGAAGTTCCTGCTGCCGGGACTGCGCTTGATTCTTGGTTACGTGCAGTGACTTTTTTTAGGCACAGGAGATCCCTGAGGGCTAATCACAGAGACGCGGCTCTGAATCCACTGAGACAGCAGAAGGACTCTTAGAGGGATTTAAAAGAAAAAAAAAAAAAAAAAATCGGCATCTCAGTCTGTCATACAGAAGGGCGCTTTAATGAGCAGCAAATGCAGTGAAAGTTCTGCTCAGATGGCATTGTAGCCAGGAAGAAGGAGAGAAAGGGAGAAATCACAAGTGATAGGGAGCAGAAGCCTTCTCTGCTGAAGGGGTTGAGCTTCATGCAGCTGTGGGAACTTCCTACCAATCTATCCAGCCAGCCACTTTGCTTGGGGCTGAATCCCCCCAGACCGGCAGCAAGGGAAGTGGCAAAGGCAGAGCAAGGTTAGCACAGGACATTTTCCAATTATAGTGGATTGAGACAGAGTCACCAGGTGACTCAGGTTATAGGGTGGAGAAGGACAAGCCAATTTAACTCCACCCCTCCCGGCATGAGGCTGCTCTTGCTCCATCCCACATTATGCCCCTTTAAAGCCAGTGGCACCAGTTCCTATCTCACCATTTTCTCCGTGTGCTGCTTGCTCTACGTACAGGAATCAGGGCTGTCCCGATTCTCAGCCCTTCCTCATCTCCACCTTACTGGGGGATGCTCTGTCAGAAAGCCAGATATCCTTCTCGCCTCTCTCTCTTGAGAGCATAGACCTAGTTTCTCCAAACCCTCAGAATAACCCGTGTCATTCAGATCGTCCCTGCAATGCAACCTTCTTCTTTTCCTTGAGATGAGCTGGCCTGAAATCATGATGCCCCACGTGGGGCTCTGCTCAGACGCTGTCCTGGCCTGGAAGTTCTCCCTCACTTGTAGTCCATGCCACCGTGCAAGGCGCAAAAATATTTTGGGTCCTTTACCCCAGTGTTATGGATTCTAAGGGTTTTGGCCTCGTTCTCTCAGTTCCAGATTTGCAGTGTGTGACCCACGAAAGTAGATCCCCTTGTTTTTATAATCCCCAGCCTCACTCCCCTGGATTTCCTGGCACCGAGCTTGCAGCCCTGAGCAGCTTCTTGTCTTGCCAAGCCACTCTCAGTTATCCCTCCCCCCACAAAGTTTTTCTCCTATGAAGCTTTCACATGAATTCTTTTGCATGCGCAAGGAGTGCCAAATGCACAGACCTGGCAGCTGGAGTCTTGTGTTCACAGCACAGGCAGCAGGAGGGCGAGAGCTTCCTCCGCGCTGTGCCTGGACCTGGTCGAGGGGCAGACTACCTCCTGGACCGAACGAGTGGCTGTAGATCCCTAGCCTAGTCCATCCTCAGCTCCTCTGCAGAGAGCACTGTGTAGGGTGCGGGTGATGGTGGTGGGTTTTTGATGCGAATCCCTTTCTAGGGGAACCGGATCCAAGACCTTCTTTCCCAGTATTGACTTTCCTCTTTTCTTCCTCTCCCATTCCCATCAGATGACCTCAGCATCCAGCTTAAATGCATATTCTTTCAGGTCAGGAAAAGGGGAGCCTTTTAAAAGGAACCTTAAAGAAAGATTTTGGCAGGATGGCTCTGCAGATCCAGCGCAGTTTCTTTACCCCCTTCCACCCTACAATCAACTCAGGCCATTGAAGTCAGAGACACTAGAAGTCAGGCATTGGCTCAGATCTCTCACGTGCTTTCTTTAGACTGTCGTGTTTTACTTATTCACTCTAATGGTCTCCTTATTCACACAGTGGATTTGCTTGGGTCATTTTCCACTCTCCCTCCCCTGGCTTCTGATGGCTTTCCTGCGAGCTGTTCCTTTAGCTAGCTCCATCTCTCTTCTCCTAATCCAACACACCAGCGTCCTCAGATGCTTGAGATGTGACCCATCTCCCACATTCAAGCCCCATCTGTTTCAGGAAGAGCCTCACAACTAGTAAGGACCTGAATCAGGGATAGGATACCTTCAGGGCCTCAATTTTATCACGGGTGCTGCTGTTTTAATGAAGCTCACACTTCCCAACTCCCTTTACTTCAATTCTTTCCCTTTCTTCCCCTACCGGATCTCTGATCTAGAGGAGCCAATAGGCATCCCCTTGCCACCCTGTCCCTTTATTTCTCCAGTTCCTCAAACATCAGAAATGACCAGTCTGTCTGTCTCCAAGTCACGGGGACCAGAAATCACAGGGCTGTTCTCCTGCTCCTCACCAGGTCACAATCTCTCATGCCCTGGTCTCTACAGAGTTTATACATGGTCAAAGCAGTTGTGACTGGGGCGCTCCATCCCTGCCAGCACCACCTGCCCTTTGCCATGTCTGGACCACGCCTTCCTTCATATGAAGGAATATGGCTAAGTCCCTCCCTCTCCCACCGATCCGGCTTTCCTGTGCCTCGGTTGCACACAGCAACCCAGCTCTCACCTGTTTTTTCCATTGCCACCTCCACATTTCCTCTCAGAGCTTTTCAAACCCTCAAAGGCTGCACGGCCCACCCACTAGGATCCTGCGCAACAAGCTAACAATGCACGCGCGTAACTGCTGCCTCCATCGGCCCCGACGTATCTTCACCGCAGCGATAGGGTCTCTCCTTTTATCACAGCCTGGCCGGTGAGAGCATCCAGTCTTAAATCTAGACCTGGCCTTAAGCCTATTCTGACTTCAGTCCTGCAGTTGATCTTTCAGAATATGCATGAAAGAGAAGAATCCGACCGAAGGGTTAAACATTACCAGACTGAGAGTCTGAATCTCAAGGCCTGACAATTGGTTCCAGTTGACTGGCTTGCCTGGTAATTTTTCACAAGATAAATACGACCAGGAATGAGCGGTAATAACTGAAGGACCCTTCACGGCAGCAACCCCCCCCCCCCGGCTACTCCCATGCTGCTTTCTTTCCTTTCAATACCCCCCCACCCTCCAGCCCAAAGGCTGCCACCAGCATCATTTATCAGTTGATCTGAAATCCCCAGCCTCTAACTATAGAGTAACCAGCATGCTGGGATACCGGAGCCAGTATTCACAACACCAACATGTGAACAGGGTACAATCCATGCCCAGGGCACCAGGACTGGGATTCACACTTCCTCCCCCTCCCCAAGGCCCCTCAGCAAGCATCAAATTCACAGCAGCTTGCAAGAGGGGCAGCAAGCAGCAGTGCCCACATCTTAGCTCCCTGCTGCTGTGCCAAGAGGCAGGCAAGGGTACTCACTGCTCTTGGAGGCTTTGACCTTGGCCACCAGTTTCTGCACACCAGGCACATCCCCATTTTTCACAGCCTGGATCATCTCCTGCTCTCGCCCCATCATGGACAAGTCGGAGCGTCAGCACAGCAAAAGGAAGAAGTCCTCCAATCCCTCGGATTTATACAGCCATGAGCGTGTGTGTACAACTCCTCAAAGCACGCTCGAATGGAGGGAAAAACCCAGCAAAGGAGATAGTTAAAGTTTCCACGGGACATAAAAAAAAAAAGAAGTCTTGAAGAAGATTGCTCTGCTAATGACAACAACCGCAGCCAGGAGTCACTTTCCTTTTAAGGGGAACAGAGACCGAGATGCAGTCTGGTTCAGGAACAAGCAATCAATTAAACAAAAAAATAGTTCAGTGCTTGGGGACTGACTCCCGGCAGCAACAGGGCCCTGCGAGACAAAGCCAGGCAGCCCGGAGGAGGGGGCCAGGAGAGTTTGCCCTCTTAACTGAACATGCGTAAAGCTCCCAGAGACAAAGGTGTCATGTTTTGCTTCCCTCGCTAGGCCGGACCGCGCTGCTAAGCCCCCAGCCCTTCCCGAAGGGATTAGTGGCTCCCTTCCCTCTGGGAGTTAACCGTTGCGTCTCTGCCAGCCCCTGCTCTCTGGCCTGCAATCTCAGAGCCTCGCTGGCAGAGCCCTTGGGGAGAGGCTGGAGCAGCGTTCCCAGTACCTGCGAACGTGAACGACAGAGTCAGATTTCAAAGGCTGTTTACTTTGCCTGACTGTGAAAGCCCTCCGCTTTTGCATCCGTGGTGAAGAATAACTACCTGGACTATATTTAGTAGGAGCAGGAGCTGGGCCATCCCCACATTAACAGGGCTAGAGGAAGGACCTGCACCATGAACATCCTAATAATAGGTGCTGTGGCCCAGCTTAGGGGACATAATGACCAGTCGAGTTTTAAGATGTTCCCAATTATGGAGCGTCCAGCCCCTTCCTTGGGAAGCCGTTGCTAGGGGCCATTTACAATGACTCCATTTCAGCCTCCAAGTCCTAGTTAGACCCACTTGGACCACACTGAATGTTTCTGCTCCCCTTGCGCTGTGCCAACGTGCATACCAGCCCTCAAAATTAATTGGGAAGTGCCAGCGCGCTGGGATTTGAGAGCTTCCGATTAAGGTTATTAGCACATGAGCATTGTCAGGCTGATCATGGTCTCAGGTAATGAGCTGAACGCAAGCTGGTAGCATGACGGTACTCAGAGGAGCAAGGGGGATCAAACTTAACTCAGCCCCCAGCAAGCCAGATGCCTGCTGGCTGACTGGGTCTCCATCCAGCTGCAGAGGGCCCTTGGAAAGAGGGCAGAGGTCTCGTTTCACATACTGGGCTTTCCCCCTAAACCCTGCCACTGTGGGAGCCCCATCACATTGCCTCACTAGAGGCCCTCCCCACTTCTCCTTCTCTCTGAACTTGCACTAGCCTAACACCAAGATTTTAGGATTGTACTCTGGACATTTCCAGGCCTCTCCCAGGTTCCAGTTTCTTTCCCTCCTCACAAAACCATGAGAAAAAGAGCATGCAAGAGCGGATAAGGAAGTTTCATACAAGCCGACATCAAATAGCAACGCTTCTCCAGTAGTTCTGATCTAGGCCAGATTAGAGCCCGTGATCTAGGGGAAAAGGCTCTGGTTTCCACCCCTAGTCACTTGGACCATGCCTTCCTCCTAAATCTCCCTTTCCTAAAGCTCTTGAGAAGCATCCTCAGCTGTTTATACAGCGCTGGGTGTTGTTTCCTCTAAGCAATTGGAGGTCGTTGCTTGACAAACTGAAACCATGGGAAGAGAAAGGGGAACTATCAGAATGATCTCTCTTCTTCATCGTGCTGGAAACCGGACTGCACAGCAGTGACTCGGAGACCCTGGGTCTATCTAGTTCCAGAACGGCACTTCCCAGGGCTTTCGCAGAGCCATGCCACATCTCCGGTGCTCCCTGGATGCAGTAGGACCTGCACACCGAAGAGGCAGGATGGGGAGAGAAACTATTTTGCACCTTAGCCCCAGCCCCCTTATACATTCAGGATAACTAACCCCTGGAAAAAAATTATCTAGGGACAGCTGCTGAGTTGCCAAACCCCAGCGATTAGGAGACAGGACAATGTCCTTCCCTGCCACTTGAAAGCCAACCCACTTTTTGTGTCAAAGGGGCCACATTTGCCCAGGCACTCAAGGAAAGACATGGGATCTCCCTGGGCAGGCCTTGGGTTTAGCAGAGCTGCTGAGGTCCTGGGCAGCCCAGTTTCTCTGGATTTGCACACCAGAAGTGGGGAAGATGGCATCCATTCAGGTTTCCTCTCGCTTCCCCACTTCCATCAATGCCAAGCCAGGCCTGCTTTGAGAGTCTCTCTTAGTTATCAAGTTAAATTCAAACTACAACTGCTTGGCTCAAATCTAACGCTCGAGTCCATCCTCCTGGAGACTTGTCTCACACAAACATTACAGTGACTCGAGCAATCCCCTTCTGGAGTCTCACTGATTGCACCAGCTTAAAAGCCACTTTGTTTCATTCCCATTCACCGACTTTCTCCAGCCTCACTTCAGAGACAAAAATCGTGAGCGCTGGCTTCTTCCATCTGTAGCAGTTTCAAGAGTCAGCTTGACCAAGGCCGGGAAACTGCCTGATCCCTGAGCACAGCTTCCGACTCCACTTGCATACAGGACTCTGCCAAGTAACTACCAAGCGTCCGCCATTCTGTGCAACAAAGTGTTAACCATCTGCGCCTCCAGCATCCTCGGAGAGCGCGGCAGCCTCGGAGGTAATCCTCGTTTCTCCCTCCTCCCCCACCCCAATTCGTGCCCGCTGGCAACGGTCTGGAATGCGCCCTGCTGCTGTATCGCCCGTTAACAAGCAGCCCTCCCGCCGAAGAAACCCAGTCTCTCCGCTCAGGAATTCACCTGGAGAACGCAGGTATCCGAAATATTCCTTCACCAAATAACTTGAAGCAAAGAGTGGTGGAGAGGAGTTGAGTTACAGAAGGGGAGAACAAGGATGCTGGACAGCTATAAAGCCAGCCCAGCCTACCCCCAAGGGCAGGCCGGGGAAGCTGCCCTCAGAAAGGAAAAGAAATGTGATCGGAGCCCTAAACACCTCGCAGAGAGGCATCTCCACCAGGCACCGGGCAGGAGGCCACGTCCGACCTCTTCAGGGCATGCCCTCAGCCCATTGCCCAGCTGGGGAAAGCTGAGGCCGGGATGGCCAAGGCACTGCCTGGCTCGAGGCCGCGCAGGGAGGCAGGGGCCAAGAAGCGGGCTCATGTGTTAGGAGGGAAAAAAGGGAAATCTTGAGGGGGGGAAGAAGGGAGAGAGGTGACTGGAAACGATTCAGTCCGAGTTCAGGCGGGGGCAGAGCGGGCCGGGACAAAGGGACGTCGGCTCCGAGGGCTGGGACCCGGAGTGGCAGGGCGGGAGCCGGAGCCGCGCGGGGCTGCGCCGGGAGGAGGGGCTGCAAAGCGATTTACCCAAGAAGGAGAAGGAGGAAAGTCGGGCTCGGGCGGCCGCGCCTCCCTGCTCCCGCCCCGGCTCCTTCTTCCTCTCGGGCTCGGTCCCACTCACCTCCTCGGCTCTCCCCCGGCCGGCCGGCCGGCCCGCAGCCCAAGTTGCAAACCCGGTGCCTCCTCGGCCGCGTCTGGCCGGGCCGCGCCGCGCCGCGCCGGGATCTCCCCGCCCGCCGCCAAGTTGGTGCAAGAAGAGCCGGGGCAGAGCAGAGCGGAGCGGAGCGGAGCGGAGCGGAGCAGAGCTCCCCCCGCACTCAAATGCCTTTGATCCCGCGGCCCGGGGGAGGAGCGGGGGAGGCAGCGAGAGCAGAGTCGGCCCCTGTGCCCGCCCGGCTCCGACTCCGGCTCCCGCTCCGGCTCCTGCTCCCGGGGCGCCGCGACTCCCCGCCAAGAGCCGCCCCAGCCCGCAGGAGATCCGCCCCGCTCCGCCCTCTGCAAAGCCGCGGGCGGGACCGAGGCAGGGGAGGGCACAGGTGTGTGCAGGCCGGGCCCGCTCCGCTTTGAGATCCGGCTGTAGCCGGCTCCTCTCTGACCCGCAGCTCCCGCGCCTGTCTCCAGCCTCCACCTGCTTGGCTCCGGCCCCGGCCCCTCTTCTGCTGCAGAGGGTCTCCCAGGCAGGCCCCCACGGCTCCAGCAAACTCCCAGCCTGCCGGCTCCTTGCAGCTCCGCTGCCTGGGTTCCCCTCTCCAGCAGGAGTTTTGCCCTCAGCGGACCCAGCTCTCTGCAACCAGCCTGAACTTGGCTCCTTATCCAGGAATAAGGAACTGGGACCCAGGAATAAGGGACCAACTTCAGCCTCGTCTCTCTACCAAGTTGGAAACCCCGGGCTGGAAGCTCTGGGCTCCACTGCTGCCACAGGGGACTTGCTGAATGATCCCCTCCACTCCCCCAGAGGGGCTGGCTGGAGCCAGCTTGGTTTTAGGTTGTCTTGGTTAAACACCAGCCACCTGCACTCTCAAGCCTGTGGCTGGGGGAGCTGGGAGGGTTTGCAACGCTGTTGTTGCCTCTGGAGCTGTCCTGCCATGTACATACAGTGCAGGGCATCGGCCTCCTTCCCCAGCAGCCTCCCAGCATTGTGTGTGTGAGGTTTGGGCCCCGATCCTGGAGTGGCTGTTGGGATAGGAAGAGCGCGGGCAATTATTTTGGGCAGAGGGCCGCTTACTGAGTTTTGGCAAGCCATTGAGGGCCGCACAACAGGCAGCCAGGGGCAGATAAATATTAATTTCCTAAATTTTTAGGGGCCCCACAGGCCAGATAGAATGGCCTGGCAGGCCGCATCCAGCCTGTGGGTGGCATTTTGCCCACCCCTGCCCTGGCAGGATGCGGAGTTCACAGTGCCAGTCCCCTGCCATTGCTTGTGGCCCCGGACCCTGAGCTGTAGGGACTTCAAGGAAGTTTGTGGGATGGCCCTGACTGTCTCCATAGATAGAATCATAGAAAATGAGAGCTGGGAGGAACCTTGGGAGGTTATCTAAAGCAGGACCATCCCCAACTATCTCATCCCAGCTAGGGCTTAAAAACCTCCAAGGATGGAGAGTCCACCACTTCTCTGGGTAACCTGTTCCAGTGGTCTCCGCATGAGAAAGTTCTTCCTAATATCTCACCTAAACTTCCCTTGCTGCAAGTTGAGCCCATCGCTCCTTGTTGTCATCTGCCACCATGGAGAACAGTCCAGCTCCATCCTCTTTGGAACCACCCTTCAGGGAGTTAAAGGATGCTATTCAATTAAATAGTTAATGCCCAATCACATTCAAAACATACACTCTGTTTTTAATGGCTCAACCCAGAGGCTTCTGGGGAAGTCATGAGACCTCAGGATCAGGCCCTATGAAATGACACCAATTATGGTGTATTCAGCATTCGAAATTGAGAGGAAAATGGCAGGGCTTGATGAGGAGGAGGATCAGGAGTTCTGGGACACACCCTGCCTCTTCGTTCTGAATAAGATTATTATGCATGTTTGATGATAAATGCCATCACTTCATGGCTGTTATTCTGAAGCGTGAAGCTATAAGGGATCTTGCTAGGGAGCAACATGAACTTAAAAGTTTCATTATTCCTCGCATGATTTTGCCAG